ACATATTACTTTGCACAGTGTTTTTGTTAAATGAATAAATCAATAAAATCGATTTAATGGTACACAAATATTTGTAATTTTATTTTACTATTACGACAAATAAAATCGTCAAGTTGTAATGATCTCCTCGAAYATTTTGTTATAATTAAATATTTATATATACCTACATACATTTGAAATTATGTTATTATATGCCCCTTAAAAGATTCCGGTGGAGCCGGGGCTCAACCGGCTCGCCCCGTGTGCACGCCTATGTTAATGTTGTAATTTTATAACATAATATTTGATAATAGTCCATATGACGTATTTACATTTTTTATTTTTTTCAAGAAGAGAATGGGCCAACTGCTGATCATGCACATATATATATTTTTCATATAATAYATAATTTTTCTGTGAATCTATTGTTGTGTAACTTATGAATGACTAGATAAAGACTAGACTAATAAAAGTTACATCAATAAAATAACYGGCCTGGAAGGTGGGTTTATTGTTGAGTTTGAAATGTTTTGCGCTTTTGGCTTTGCCAAAAAAATTTATCGTGAGATTATGTATATGGGTTTTAACAGTTGGGAGTTTAAAGTCGGTATGAAGTGCTTCATTTCTGATGAACCATAACAAATTGGAAATTATACGTGCAATAAATAATGATATTATATCATAATATTATAATTTATAACTAAACTGTAAMTATACTTTTCTATATTGTTCTACGAAGAACAATATTAACGAAATAGTTGATTCATTGACTTAGGTAATAATTATAAAAAAAGAATTGCATAAACTTGGAACAAAATATGGTTTACGTAAAGGATGGTTCAGTAGTGAATGTTTAAAAAAATCAACAACTTGATTTCTCACTACTGATCAAGTAGATAAAAATGTTGAATTTACGGTGTAAGAAATTATTAAAAATATTTCAGGAAGGCAAGAATTTTTGTAAGGCAAAAACTCCTTGCCAAACAAGTAGGTGTGCTTGTTTTAAAAATAATTTAGTTTATACCATAATCAATCGTCATGTAAAAATAAATAATGAGGAAGAAAAATGTATAGGTACCTACCTACCTATTGTTCATTAATTATTATTTAAGTCGGTCAATTGTTTTGTTTATATTTCTGTTTATAGAACAATTTATAAAACTATAAAAGTATAGTTATAGTTTACTGTTAAGTAATAAGTTATAATATAACTATTTAATGCAAAATAATACAACAATATTGCTTCATAATAATTACACAAAGTACACAATATAGGTAAGTATTTGTCCACTTCACGTATTTTAATCAAAATTCACTATCTGGATGAATTTCACAATCTGTATATTCAGTTCATGAAATGAGTGACTTCACTATGTGGATGCGACAACATAAACAACATATTTACATATATTAATATGTTATATTTTCTATAATATTATCAATAAGTTTGATGACGATGTATGTCAGTAACAATTTATCATAAAAAAAAACATATATTAATATTTGTCATTGATCTTCATTCCATTTAAACTCAGAGAAATAGATAAATCATCAAATTATGAAACTACAAACCCATTTACAGAATGTATACTACATTAAGAATCTAAAAAATATTGTAACTAAACAAATTAAAAAAATTGTTCAATGGAATAAACTTTTAGAATTTGTGATTAAAATAAGACATATGGTAGTACCTGTTTTAAGTTTATGTTTTCTAGATGTTCGTTCAGATTTCTGAATATTTATGTTAAGTGATACATCTGGATTTTCTGGATACATAGTTTGATGGTAAAAATTAAAAATAAACGTCAAATCGGTACAGCCAAAAGCAGTAAACATGATTATTCTTCGATGTAATCATTGTATTTTAATGGAATTAAAGTGTACAAAAACAGACATATCGTATAGTTTAGTAATGAGCAGAAAATCAAAAATCAAATCACACAACTCAATGTCATTGGATAATTAATGGTCTACTGYCATAACAGGTACTATCTGTTTTCTAACAACTACAATACAATACAATACATTACATAATATACAAGGTAGTTAAATCCCAACAGTAAAGTATACACTATAGGTACAGTCTACATACTAGGTCATATAAAATGTAACCTACCTGTCACCTGATTCTGATGATGTATGGATGATGTAACACGGTTAATGAATAATGATAGTAAAATAATAATATTCAATTCATGCATTAATGCATTATGTGATTCAAACAGCAGCTGGCAATATTGATGTAACCGTTATATCGTATAGCGCTGTTAAATAAAAGTTGGTAACGWAAAGTTGTTACAGACGTTACAGTTGAGTTTAGTGGTGAGTTGTGAGTTATTCACAAATTCACAATACTTAGTAACTGTCTTACTGTCAGATCTCAAAGTTCAATAATCTAATAACATTATACTAAATATACTATTATAGCATTATTGGCATTATGCCATTATCCTAGTTGGGTTGACGCCGTTGACGGTTTCTCACAATATGATTATTGATAAAGAAAATAACAGATAAGTACTTATCTGATTACAACATTTACACAATATTATGCTTTATAGCTTAGATMATATATGATCTAAGCTTTATAGTTTATACATGGACATGGTTGGAAATTGGAATATTTCAACCATGGATATGGTTGGAAATTGGAATATTTCAACCATGGGTTTACAACAGTCAACAGGTCTTATTATCTTTACTGTTTTGTGATATTAATATATTATTGATGGACACGGTATTGTTGTGTAGTGTGTACTAATGTACTATGGAATACCTATGATATTAATTTGTATTGGTTTCAAACTTTTAATCTTGGATCATATTATATAATATTATAGATAGATAAATATTAGATTGTAAGTGATTTAAAGTTTCATACATAGACATAATATGAACTTTCTGAAACCAATTTTTAGTTTTACCACAAAATAATTTTTGGTGAACGGGCGCCTAGTCGCCAGATCCCCAATTCCTATTAYCACAGATTAATATTATTGCCATTACCATTGTTATAAATTATATACTACAACAAAATAATATGTACAATTAAAATATATTATTATATCAAATATAAAATCAATACTATATTATTGTCATTATTCATTATAGTCATTATCCATTACCAGTGTTTGGAAATATCATGTTCAAAGAAATKTATTCTCTAATGATTTCTTTCATTTACATTTTTCTAAATATACTAACGTAGAGATTTTATAGCAAATTTTATAATTTTTTTTTTTTAGAAATTTATCGCTAATACCGTGTACAATTGTTATTTAATATATTATATTAAAATATTAAATTATCCCATCACATCACGGTATAGCACAGGCGCACAGTTAAATTATATATAGCCTATATACATAGGCGTGCGCACGGGGGGTGCCGAGGGTGCCTGGGCACCCTCGGACTTTTCACATAAAACAGCAAGGGCCCTATAATAATTATTATTATTACTTAAGTGTACATTTTAAACCTTGAAATTTTMAAGTATTATAAAACAGTATTAATATGCTTTTATTTTTACGAAAAATAAGAATTCCCTTCAAACAGAATCTTGTGTTCTATAACATTATATATAACATTTTTTTTATAGTTATTAATAAGCTATAAATGGTTTACTCAGTTCGATGATAACATTGTCTAATTTCATAGAATATTTTGATGTAATATTTATTTTATTACAATGTATAAAATAAAAAAAAATTATTTTTAGTGCATTTTATATATATATATAAATTTTGCTGTACCTATAATGGCTTTCAAAATTATTKTRGGCCCTAATTTATACTATGCACCCCCGGAACCAAATGTCTGCGCACGCCTATGCCTATATAGTGCATAATATTATCTATAAACAATTATTTTGTCAAGTAAAACTATCATATTCTCTGTCCAGCGAGAGAACGCCGCTCACCGACCAAAACTGGTTCCCCCCGCGCAACATCCTGCCATAGCGAAACCGGTTTCAACAGTAGTGTGGCGGAGAGTGTGCAGAATTGGCGCATTCTCTCGCTGGACAGAGTAGTATCACTTATATGGTAAATATATTATTGACTAAATTGTAAACACAGTCAGAATTAGGTATATTATAGCTGCAGTAATTGCTACTAAAATCGTATACTGCAGCGTCATCTAGCAACAAAAGTAAGTTCGACGATACTGTATGATCAATATCACCACAGAACATTACAATATGCAATAGTTTGCAATTATCCCGTTTATTTTGTTACATTGGCTACTCTGGTGACTGAAAAATCAGAATTATTTTGTTTTCCAATAAAAATATAATGATATGTAATAGGTATACAGGTATACTATAATATAAATTTAGATTAAGATTTTAGACGCAGTTGCTAGTGAATACAGAATAGTGATTATAAATGATTCATGTTTATTGTTCTGCGATTTTCATAAAAGAAATTTTTCGCTTACCCATCTWACAATAATTTTTTTTAAATATTGATTATTCATCGTTTTTATTACAATCAGCATTTGTATTAACATACTGTCAACTGTAAAACGAATAACTTGCCAGTTTACATACTAGTATTTTTTTAATTAAAAAAAGAAAACATGGCACCATCAGCTGCAGTGAGCAAGAGAGATGATGGTCCATCAACATCCGAAGATTTCGATTTAGATAAGACAGCCGAAGAGGCGAAATCTTTGATTGAGAAAGTCATCAGAGACGTTGGCAAAAAGTCTGCAACCAGACAATTGCTTTTTGGTTCAGCGTCTGGATGGTACTAAGTTCAGAATTTCACCTAGTTTTAATATAATATTGTATTTATACATACTGTATTATTTCCAGGGCGACCGGTTTTATTATGATGAAATTRGGTAAAGCTGCTGCATTCACAGTCGGAAGTGGCATATTAGCTCTACAACTAGCCAATTCGAGTGGTTATATAAAAATTAATTGGGATAAATTGACCAGAGGTGTTGAAAGAGTGGCTGAACAAGTCGAAGACAGTACAAGTGACAAGAAACAAGGATTATTGAAAAAGGTAACTTATACACAATGTAATATTGTGTACATTAAATGTATTAATGTATTATGTCCAAATAAATTCCCCAATTTTCGTACTTTTCAACTCGCAGCGAGATTTTTATATTTCTGTGTACTAATTGCTTTTAGGTCAGAAACATTATAGAGACCAACTCCATTATGGCTGCTGGATTTACTGGTGGCTTCTTCCTTGGTGTCGCCTACTCATAAACAGATTATCTATATGCAGCATTTAAGAATTCTTTGCACAACATTTTAACTATAACAAATTCACAAGCTAATATTTAAATATTGCATCTTTCGTAAAATAATAACTATTAAGTTATTATATAAGTACAATAATTCAAGAAATATATTAAAACATATATACTTAATATTCATTTAAACCTTTTAAATTGGACATAAACCATCAATTGTTTTTTAATTTTTGTAAGACATTTCTTTATGTATTGACCGATTTCAGGTGGGGCGCTTTGTTGACAAGAAACTTGATAAGGCTGAGGATTTATTAAGGAAGAAAGAACGCAAA